CTCCCTCTCCCACTCCCCCTGCTTGTGTTCCCTCTCTCACTGTGTCTCTCTCTGTCAAATAAATAAATAAAATCTTTAAAAAAAAAAAAAGATTTGAAGTAAATTATGTCTGAAGAGAACTTCCCTCATTTGTTAGGGGACAAAGTTGGAGTATTTATTTAACAAATACTGCCAGAGCACACACTGTGTGCCAGGCACTGGCCAAAATGAGAGACACTATTAAATGTCACTAAATTATTAAACATTACTTTGCTTAATCCTCACAACACCCCTTGGAGGCAAGCACTATTATTCCCCCATTCTACAGAAGAAAAAACTGAGGCACAGAGAAGTCAAGTAAGCCGAACAAGTCACACAGATGACAAAGCAGCAGACCTGGGTTCTGACTCCTGGCAGCCGGGTTTTCAGGGCCCATCTCTCAGCCATGGTGCCATATGGCCACTTAGATTATCACCAAATCTCACAGTGCCCTAACATTCATGACATGGCTCCCTCAGTGCCTTCGTTTCTGGTATGTTCTAACATGTCTAATATTCACAAAATAGATTATTTGGTCAGATTCCCTCTATCTTATATGCCCGCTTTCTGGATTAGTGTGGGAGATGGGAGAGGGATTCCACTGTCATTTGAAATTCAGAGGTATTGAAAGCTACCCCTTTCCAGGGCCCAGCGAAGTCAGCCTGCTATTTATTTTATCAGAGAACTCATCATGGATACATTAAAGAAAATGTCCCCAGTGGACCCAGGCATGTGGATCCTGGAATCCAGATGTGCCTACTGTTGTGACAGCTCTGACTACACGTGGGACCTTCAAAAGCCCCGGGCCATGCCCACCAGCTCCTCCCCAGCCCCCACTTTCCCCATCGCCCTCACTAGCATTATCTGCACAGGCACAGCCCTGAGACTTCTCCGACCTGGATACGCAGTGATCTCTTCCGTGTCATCTAAGTACCTCTCTGGGAGCGGCCCAAGGCCCAACAATAGGCCTCAGTGTCACTCACGGTTAAATGACCCACATCTAGGCCTTCCTTCTCCCGTCTCAACAACCAGATCAGCAAGATTCAGTCCCAAAATATTTAATAGCAAAAAGCATTAAATAATAGCATGAGGTGTGACGAATAAGTGATGCACAGAGGATTTTTAGGGCAATGAAACTATTCAGTATAATACTGTCAGGGCAGACACATAACTCTACACACTTGTCCAGATCCACAGAATGTATAACACCAAGAGTGAACCCTAATGTGAACTCTGGCCTCTGAGTGATGATGATGTGTCAGTGTGGCTTAATCAATGGCAACAAACGTACTACTCTGCTGTCGGATGCTGATGGGGGGAGGCTGGTGAGTGTATTGGGCAGGGGGAATATGGGAACTCTGTGCTTTCCCCTCGATTTTGCCGCAAACCTAAAACTTCTCTAAAAAACTGAAATCTATTTAAAAAATAACAACATGAGTTTCTATTTCAATCTCTTGAAGAAGAGGCAAAAAGAAAATCCCACCCTGAAACTACAACCACATGGCATCTCTTTTATGTCTACACTAAGACCTCAGCCCACTGTGGTTCTCCTACCTTGCCTTCGGGTCCCTTTCTCATCCTCTGTCCCTCTCTGTTTCTCTTTCTCCTGATAGATCCACACACACACATGCACACAAAGACACACACAGAACTACATGTGGGTCACATTAGCTTTTCTCACATAAGCCCACTTAGCTTCTCTCTTTACAGCTTTCCTCTCGCCCCTTATTCCCCTCGTTCAACAAAGTACAGACAACCTGGATGGGGCCTACATGAAACCCTCCTTCAAATGTCTAGCTGGAAATGCTGTTAATGCAATAAGGTAGCATTATAAGTGCAAATTTTAATTTAAAATTGCACATAGTACAAAAATGTGTGATTTTGGAACAACACAATTTTAATAACACTAAGAGCGTCGCTTTACACACAGATTTTGAAATAATGTGTGTCCCCCACAAATAAGCATTTATAAATATTACCTTAAAACTGATAAAATGAATAAACTGTAAACTGAATTTAGCCATTGCCATGGCCTTAGCCACAGGAGCCTATGAACGGAAATACCCACCATCCTCTGGCTTGACTTGTGGCCTTGAACTATGGCAGATGGGAATTCCATAAGGGCATTGCGATGTAGCTTTTGATGAAAGGAGAAAGATTGTTGTTATACTTTAATAATTTTGTTCCTGCTATATAACTTAGGTATCATGGCTATGTAGATAATCACAACATACTAAATTACAGCTTTCATATGGAATTCAATATTTCATTTTCTACTAAAAGTGTTAAGTATTTTCCAAAGACATAATGTATCCATGTACAAAACCGTGCTTTTTCAGCATATGTGGCCCTGAACTGAAGCACTGACTTGCTGGTTTATGATGCGTCTGCTAAGTGTACAGACAGTAGAGAAGTACTTTCCATTATTCAATAACATGTCCTAGTTAATTGCTCTAGTATTGAATAACAATCCCTAAAGAATTTTCACTTCCAGCAATGGTTTCTGACTTTCTTTTGGTGTCTAGACAATAATGATTTACTGAAATGTGTGGGGAGCAACATAAGAAAAGTCCTTAAAAATATTTAATATTTATAGTTATTGGAGTTAGGAGGAGGGAAGTGAAAACAAAGTAACATCGTGGGTTGCTACTAAGTGTCCAGATCAAAGCAATTTTGATATAAATATGATTTAATGATCAAAAACCCCCATGTAAAAAATGAGTTATATTTTATCAAGATGACAATGCCAGGGTCAGAGGTAAGAAGTCTATGAAGTCAAAATGCTTTTCTATTAAAAGTTCAAAGTAAAGCACCAAGTAATCTTTAAGAAACAAAAAGTTCCTGAAAATTTGATTCTTTTCCACACCAGGTACCATGTTTTCCATGAGTATTCATAAATAAGCTTACCAACTGCAGTTTTTGGGAACCTTGGAAACTCAGGGTTCAGAAGCCCTTGGAGTCCAGACTGTCTCATGTTTTAGCCACCAAGCACTAGTGGGAGCCTCGGAGCCTGCTTAAACCCCTCTCGATACCACTCCACTCCATTTGAGGCAGCTTGGCTGGAATTAACTTGCACCGGCTCATAGTCACTCAACCCTGTAGGACAATTAAAGAACTGCATTAATATTTGCACAATCTAACTTTTAAAACCTCCTGACAGTACTGTCTAAATTTTGGTGACTTTGAAAGGACATTTCCAAAATAAGGAATTTCTCAATTAATTGACAATATTAATTGAATTCTGTTTAACCTGAAAAATAGATATTTAACATTTGGCCCATCTTCTAAGCTTGGCAAGCAAGGTGTGAGGTGTACAGCAAAGGGTCTCATGTCTTACTCACTCCTGCACTTTCAACAGAGTATAGACCTACAGGGGGGAGGGAAAGAAGATGTGAAACATGGCGATGGATTACGCTGATTCCAGGATATAGTCTGGAATTGTGAATTCTTAACAAGAACAAACATCAACCCTGCATAATAGATTGAATTATCATTTGGTTCATATATTTGCATGCAGAAAAGTTCTTAAGCCACCATAAGCATACCATACATCTGATCACAGATCATCACAGAATTAAAGGAGCAGCAGAGTAAAGAGGTCTTCTACATTGTTTTGTGTTCTCATACATGATTACATTTACCACTTTCCAGACAGACAAAAGTCTTTTACAGTCATCTCAAAGCCTTTCTGAAGGAAGAAGCTACAACCCCACTTAGTTTTACTGGCCCAAGTAAAATCATGAAGAAGGGTAAACTTGCCTTTGACATTTTTTTTTCATCTTCCCCTCGTGAGATTAGTTTTTCTCGTTTGGAAATCAGAGAGAAGAGCATTTAAGGAAGGAGAGGGAGACCAGTTACAGAGTAATGGCAGGGTGTCTGGTGCTAAGAAAAGCCCAGAGAAGGCAGGCCCTCCACGGACCACGAGGTGTATCATGGGGCACTGGAGGCCTGCCAGGACTAGTTCTCGGGGGGGAAAGTGAGAAAAGTCTACTTGTATCATTATTTGTTGAGGCTCCAGCATTCCTCATCTGCTTATTACATACTTGGCTCCTGAGATGGGGGTAAGAAGGGAAAGGGATGAGTGGTGATAGAGCTTGCCCCTCCGAAAAGGGAATGTCTGAATGGTGGGGCACGGTGAGCACTCTCGCCACAGCCAGGAAACACCCAGAAGTGTTCTCCAGGCTCTTTCACATGTGCCCAAACTCCTTGAACAACCTGCTGTGGTCCTGCAATCCAGGGACACTGCCCAGTGGCCGCAGCTGCACAATTCCCCTTCCTGACTTTCCATACTCCTGAGAGAATGTTCTCCACCATTCCTTTGCTTTGCATTTGTGTATCTGAGAGTGCTCTCATGGTCCCTGGCCTTGCTGGAGACCCTCTGTTTGCTTTATCCACTTTTCACCCTTTCCCAACTGTGCCCCAGAATTTTTCTATACCATTCCTTGCCACCCTGATACTAGTTTTAGTGACTCTGTGTCTTATTAGCAAAAAATTCACCTCTTCATACTTGGATCCTTAGTATATTCCATCCCTTTCAAAGATAGCATATATTGGTTCCCCTCATGAAAGATGATTTTCCTAAGTCCCCCAGAGCTATTACCTATTCATGCATTATCCCCGTACCTACCACTTTAAAAATTTACCATTCAAAGACTGGAGTCTATTCTTCCCTGCATATCTGGGAAGGGAAGAATAGAGCCCTTTAGCTCTTTACTTCAATATTCTCAGATCAATCCAAGCTAACACAAAGAGTATCCTGGCCATTGTCTGCAGCTTCACTCACAGCTACATGCTGAACAGAAAAGGGATCAATGACCCACACTTAAAACATTCAAAATAATATACTCAGAACCACAAGGAGCACCTGGCAGACAGCCGGAGAACTGCACAGAGCTGTGAGCCCTCATTCTGCCATGGAATCCAGCTTCTTTCGAGGTTGAAACACTGGAGTTCTGAATATTCAGACTAAATGCAAACTCACAGTGCCCGTGCCCAGTGAAGGAGCCGACCTCCTCTCAATCCCCTGACTGCCACGTGCAAGAGATCCTGGATATGCAACTGTGAATTTATTCCCTACTCTGATGGAGAATGGGAGGCATGTGCATTAGCCGCCTGAAGTTTAACTAGACATGAATGTCAAGATTAGCACTTTATTACAGCATTCAGTTTAGTCACACAAGTCAACTAGAGGACAGCAGAGAACATGAAAGTGATGAGCGCTGTGGCCCATGACATGACCCAGAACATCGCAGCGTGGGTTTCAGACAATGAGTGTGCCATCCCTTCCTATATTAGATACGTCATTTAGTGCAACACTTTTATTACATTAAAGGAGGCTCCACATAAAAATGTCAGCAGCATCCAGTTGACTCATGGAATTGAGAACTGTGCATTAGCTGCCGATTTAAATTAATTTTGCTTCTTGAACCATGAAAAATAGTTCTTTGAACAAGAATTCATGATAAATACACATGTGTAAAAGGCTTTTAATCATAATTATTTTAAATATATAAAACACGGTTTAAGACTCTCAGCCTCATTAATTTCTTATGGTATAAAAGAACAAAAACAAACAGTAAATGAGAAGTATAAGTCATAATTTAAATGTATTACACATGGTCATTTAGCTCATTAAATGAAAGGATTCTTTGTAAACTCTGGGCTATGGAATAGTTCTGCATTAGCCAAAGATGAGGAGCAATGTTACAATTTTCTTATTGAGAACCATTGTTTTATGTCATTTAGATCTTAAAAGAATAGCACCTACAATTAAAACAGCAGAATCAGAATGATGTAATCATTACATAATACCTTGGACTTCCTCTTTCAGAGCACTTAACTCTGTAGATTCCCAAAGATCAGAGGTCACATTCTCAAGACATGGCACATAGTAAGGTCTTAGTAAATATCAATGAGGAAATGGCTGTAGGTCCCTTTGGGAAAAGTACAGATGAGCCATTATCATACATATTTGCCAGGGTGTTGTGGATCCTTCCTTCCAGGGACTTGGCCTCCCCTTTCAGGTCTGAGAACTGCCCCATGTCCAGACACTGGTAAGGGATTGTGACTTCTTGGGGCGGGTGCTTGTCCTCAGCCTCCTTGATCTCTTTTCACTGTATAGACTGAAAGACTCCTTTGCTGAGACTATCTGGCTGTGTTCTAGTAATCATTTCCATGGCTCTACATGGATCACATTCCCCTATTACTACCACCTTGCAAACTACAAGGTGGAATGGACAGCTGGAGACCTAGGGAAAAGTTGATGCTGAGGTTCCAGTCTGAAGGTGGCCTGCTGGCAGAATTCCCTCTTCTTCAAGGAAGGTCAGTCATTTTCTATTAAAGCCTTCAATTCATTGGTAAGGCCCACACACATTATGGAGGACACTCTGTTTTACTCAGTCTACTGATTTAAATGTTACTTTCATGTTTAAATTCACAGAAACATCTAGAATAATGTTTCACAAAATATCTGGATACTGTGGCCTAGCCAAGTTGACACAAGAAATTAAACATCATGCTCATATGATGAGCAATTCTGGGGGGAACAGAGCTCCAAGGCAGATCCAAAAATCATGTGAGACTCTGGAAAAGGGACTGGCTTGGGATCTCAATGGTGGTGAGGTGGTGGGGCCAGAGTGACAACAATCAGGGATTTGGGTGGATCCTCCCTCCAGCACCAAAGGAGGTAGCACTCAGACTTCCTTAACATGGATGTCTAGATGTGGGGTGCAAGGGGAAGAGAGAGGGGCAAAGCTTAAAATACGTCAGCAATTACACATCAGGGAATGGAGTCAGGCTGTGTTACAAAACGGAATGCAGATTTTGCTCAATTCAATGCTTAAGAAAGTAAGTAAGAGGTAGCAAACTAAGAGGAAGAAATATTAACCAAAGTAGGTTTAAATCCTATTGGATGAAAACAGCAAACACCTGCCACTTAAAGAGGAAGTCCACTTGAAGCTCCCACTACACACAGTGGAAACTAACCCATGGTATCAGGGCGCCTGGGTGGCTCAGTCAGTTAAGCGTCTGCCTTCAGCACAGGTCATGATCCCGGAGTCCTGGGATCGAGTCCCGCACTGGACTCCTTGCTTGGCAGGGAGCCTGCTTCTCCCTCTCCCCCTGCTTGTGCTCTCTCTCGCTATCTGTCGCTATCTCTGTCTCTCTCTCTGTCTCTCTCTCAAATAAATAAAAAATAAAAATAAATAACCCAGGGTCTCATAGCTGGCAACTGGAATGCAGCCAGCCAGTACATTTCTAGGTCTAGAGAGGAGCTAGGCCAGATCTCCCTAACACAACAATGATTCTTGTTCTCTCCATATTGAGAGCATTTTGAAGGAGCAACAACCTACAACCTAAAAGCCAGTATGTTTCTAGGTGGGGAGGAATAAAAAATTGGGAATGTAGTAGAAATGTACAAAAAATGGATAAAATCTCCTCCCAGTGGAACTACTCAGGAAATTTCCAGATAGTCTCTAACTTTGCAGAGAACAGTTCTGTATTTGACATTACTTAAGGTAAAATATCAGTGCCCTCCATTCCAAGTATCTAAGAGCACCTGAGAGCACTTTAGGCCCCTTTAAGCCATTACAAGACTTTAATTCTGCCTTCCAGGGAGCCAGGAGGGTGGTGAACTCAACAAGCCTATAAATTAAGTCATGAGTCTTATTTTCCCGGCAAAGCAAGTTCAGAATGTACCATATAATTCTCCAGGCTTGACATACCTCCATTAAAGGGGATGCCCACTGAGTGTGGGATTACAAAAAGAAATTACAGATTTTCTAATAAATGCTTCAAACTGCCAACAAAATCTGGTTCTCAGGATATTTTTTTCCTTTGCGGCTGAAAATAAACATGTTCATTGCTTTATAGTTTCCTGAAATGATGACATTCCAGTGTAACTGCAAATTCTTGTGACAGGCAAACAGCTTCTACTGACTACAGTGATCTATGAAGTGCATTTATAATGGTTCAGGGTAGCCTTATCAGTAGACACCAGTATCAAGTAATCATCACAAGGACTTTTTTGCTAAGAAGCACTTGGTCATGTATTTTCCCATCAGATTATAACTAAAACCTTTGCTCAGTCTTTTATTTTT